TTCAGAACAAAGGAAAGTGAGTGGATATCATGAGAAACTTGAAGGACAACATGTTGACCCACCAGGACAGGATATTGTATCTTAAACACAACCTTATCACCATATTACCACCTTATCAGTCCATTGTAAGTAACCTATCACCATATTACCAATACACCATCTTATACTACAGCACCATATGTAACCTATCACCATTATATACCTATCATACCTATTCTACCACCTTACACCACTGTAATACCATAATCACTATCACACCATTTACCCACAATGGTTACCAATATCACCAATCCTTCATCTTTAATATATTCTCCATTAACATGTATCACTGGAGCTATACTCTTTGCTTTCTTTTGTTAGTCTTCCCTTTCTTCCTTAAATAATAACTTGTTTTATTATAGCATGTACACATGTACCTTTATTTTGTACTTACATTTAATTTTTTATTATTGTTGTTGTTATTGGTATTGTATTTTTTTACGTACTTTTATTATCAAACAATAGCATTGAGTTTTCTATTTGACAATTTTAAAAATTCATTTTTAATATTATTTTATAAAATCAAAATTAAATTAAATAAGTCAACAGTTTTGTTCCAGTACTCCTGCCAGAGTGGACTTGAAGTGATTCAAGAACTGCTTAAATTTGATGTGATTCTCCACTGGTCGTGCAGCTCCAAAATCATGCAAGATATGTAGGATCATCTATAACTCTTTTACCAGCCTCAATGATCTGAGCCAATGACTCTCTGTGGGACAAAAGAGAGAGAGCGAAAGACAGACAGGAAGAGATTAAGAAGGATCATGTAATAAAATGTAACATTCTCTCCTAGCCATTATTGATGAAATACACAATGCACCCTGTATTATGGTTTATGGCCTTGGGCCATTATGCAGACCATTCAAACAAATGTCACTTAATATTTTTAACTTTGCTCTCCTCTCCATCACAGCTCTTGTGTACTGTACCTGTTGGTACTTTTTGAAAATCAGCTACAAGCTGGGAATTATTGTAACTTATGGGATTACAAATTCTATCATCATAATTTCTTTTATTGGCATCATTATTTTACATTTTCTATGGGTCAGTGGTTTATTGGATAAAATTATAATGAAGATTTGGTGGTTGTGGCATAAGCTGCCTCGGCATTGGCGACAGATTCAAGAGGAAGCCTCACCTGTTCATTTGAGTGGATCATTTTTTGAACCTTATGACAGAGTAAGGGAGCCTCTGCTTTCCCCCCAAAGTCAAAGATACAACTACTGTAAATCATTATATGACTTGCAAAAATTAATTCAGACACATGCATGATAATTTTTAATATTAATTTCTTCTACAGGCTTATGGAGCTGATTTATGTCTTTCACAATACTTGCATTTTAGTAGTCACTGCTTGTGTGACATGTCAATTAGCTAAACACTAAACAGAGACTTTTAAGTTGTATTATTATTATTATATTATTATTATCATTATTATTATTGCTATTACTAATATTATTATTATTACTATTTTTGTTGTTGTTGTTTTTGTCCTAATATAATTAAAAAAGGAAAGAAAAAGATATGCTGGTCATTTTCCCTTGTGTTGCTTTTGGATCCAAACAGGGGAAGTCAACAGAATTTTTTTGCAGTGCACTATTACATGTGAACTGGTTTTTATGTTAAAATTACAGTGAGTGTGCAGTGCTGTACAACTCAACATCTCTTTAGTAGTGACTTCCCTGCTGATGGCATCATACAATTTTCATGCATGTTTTATTAATAGCTACATGTAGTTTGAACACTTTTAAACAAACAAAAACAAGGACAATTTAATGAAAGATATTTATTCTCTGGAAGTCACTTGTGGTTCAGGTCTTGGTTAACCGGATTTTCCAAGGAATAGTCCGGGGGATCCCTGTGGTCCTACAGATTGAGGTGCTGGTTTAATATTGTTTTCCACATATTTTATGGCCCAGGACTTGACAATTTGCTTGCAGCTGTAATTTGCATAATATTTCGCTAAGTCATCAACTATAAAATAAGACATGAGTTGTAGGTTTTATTTATTAAACTGTACTATGACTTACAGCCCGGTGGCCCTGGCACTCCAATCGGCTCTACATATGGTGGTGCAGTTGGTGCTGGTTATCCTCTTCGTCCTCTTTGTCCTGTTGGTCCTATTTGTCCTGGTGGTCCTTCTGGACCAGGGTTTCCTACACACTGACATGAACCAGAAGGAGCTCGATAGCTTTTTGGCCCACCTTTTGTATCAAAAGAGTTACTATTTTTCTCTTCAATTTTGAGATATTTAACCACATTATTGATAAATTCTTGCTCAAGGGCAGTGGGTATTTCCTGAAATGATTAGAATTAGAGTTAAACTATACTAATGCAGTTGTCAACTTACATTTGGAGGAATTCCTTGTTGGTGGTAGTAAACCTTGTTATAATAGATAGTCATAACACCTTTTGAAAAGTACATTAATTAATAAAAAATAGTTGCATGGTTTACCATAGCCCACAAATGATCTATTTGCACTTCTTTTAGCCTCAAACAGTACACCAGGGCCAAAAGCTATGTCATCCCTCACTTGAAGTTTAGAAGTCCATATCTTTTGAAGTGTTGCTTTCTCCAATTAACAGTAATAAAATTAACATTAAAAATATGCACTTACTGTGAGTTTGACGGTGAGTAATCTGTTTTTGTAAGTCAGTACAGCACCAGCAGGTACTATTACTTTCCTTGGATATCTAGTTGGTAGACCTGCTGCACCTCTTTCTTCAATCTGCAGTTAACATAAAATTTATGAAATAGAATAAAATGGTTTGTACCTCATGCTTCTTTATATCTCTTTCAGTTCGTGCTATTTTTCCATTATTAGCATAACATGATTGTGGTGTACACTTGACCCAGATGCGATAACCACATTTCTGACAGCACTGCCCACCTGCAAAAACAATCCTAATTTTACTGCCACCAGCTTCTTGAAAAGGAGAAAAACAACCATCATCTGTTTTACCACAGTATTGTTTTTCACGTAAAATACCACTAGTAATAAAAATTGAATCAAGACACTCTCCTGTAATGAAAATAAAATAAAATTAACATAGTACACGTATTCTCCTCACCATCACTATCAGATTTTGGTAAATCAAGACTGGAGCACTGAATTGATGCCATATGAGTTACTGGACACACTACCTGATGAATGCAAAAGTGTTTTTCTGGATAGCACTTTCCCAATGAAAAATCAGTGCTGTCTATTGTACAGTCAATAGATCCATCACTATTTTTAGGACCACAGAATGTTTTAGCTTTAACACTCTTGGCTTTGCCAAAGTCAGGAATCAAATTAAATCCAGTATGTGTAGCAGAGTAAGGAACACATATCTGCTTGCTAACAAAAGTAGTACAGATAGTTATTAAAATGATAATTATTATGCCGACCTTGAATCACCAAGTTTATCTTGAAGTTCTGCAGTTCCTATATTTTTCAATAGCTGTAAATTGATACGGTTACTGGGTGGGCAGTAACAAGTAGTCACACCATCAAATGCTATTAAAGATCCAATGAACAAGAAGACAATCAAATAAAACATCTTTTGTTGAATGAATTTCGATAATAGACTATGCTTCAAGAGCATTTTTATAGTCATTGGAAAGGAAACCACAATACTTCTTATAGTAATGAGTATACTTTGATTGCTGCATTGCACACCCACTAAATTAGAAATCTAATACATAATGTATAGCATAATATCAAGAGTAGCTATGCCCTTGTATAAATCATGTTTTATGAAGAATGAATGATGTAAAGGCCTTCATACACGAGGCAACTTGTTGCTAGCAACATTTGTGGTTACTTTGACCTTGTAAGCAACATGTTGCCAGAAATAGAAAGATGCTCTATTTTTGGCAACATGTTGCTTGGTTGCTAGCAACAAGTCGCCTCGTGTATGAAGGCCTTTATAGTTAGAAACACCTAAATAATGTGAGCATACAGTGGAGTGCACACTGCACAGATAGTTTTTTAGTATAATTCTAATTATTATCTAATATCAAGGTTTCAAAGGAGTTTTTTAAGTCTTCTGTACAAAATTAAAAAGATTCAAAGTACCTTTAAAGGTTATTTTGCTAATAAAATGCTCAGCAGTTCTGATGTAAAACTTTTTGAACTTTGAGTGTCTTTTAAAAACTTTCTTTCTAAATGGAATATAATTGTAATATTTTTGAAGAGTAAAATCAATTTATCATTTCTTGTTATTATTTCTATTATTAGGGGCTTTAACAATACACTGTAATCTAGACAAACACCACCCACATGATGAAGAGGTGGGGCCAGACTACCGAGACTAGACACAACAGTAGTAACACCTTAACCTTAATCAATTGATCCACTGTTATGTCCATAATACCAGGCTTGCCTAACTGGCTAATCCCTCACAAACATATTGCTGTGTATGGTCATATAGAGTGGGTGTGCCTAACTGGCTAATCCCTCACAAACACATTGCTGTGTATGGTCATACAGAGTGGGTTTTGAGTGGGAATCTACTGAATGGTCACTAGTGTTGGTTATAATAAATTTAAAGAATAGATGTGATGATTAATGACAAGAGTACACAAATATTATGTACTCTTGTTAATAACAATGTATATTGTTTTAGCTTTGCTCAGTTAAAGTTTAATTGGCTTTATGTTATTCAATTTATTAGTGTTGTGTGGTCTTACTAAACAAATTTACAAGAACTGAAGTTTTAGTAAACAATATGCTCCTGAAGGTTGTATGGCAGGAGATCAGGCCAGCCTGAGTACTGGTAACCGAGAAGTACTGTAGGTCTAAGAGAATCCACAAGATTTGCACAGAAAATTGTTTTTGTTTAATGTTATTTTTCAAGTTAAAAATTAATGCTTCTTAATTTTACAAATGACATCAAGCAAAGCATGTTATCCTTTGAATCTTCCTTTTGCTTCTTTTTGGTGGTTTTTCCTCTTTTTAGGCATAAGGTGGGTTTTAATATGATACATTGCTTTTTATGTGCTTTTGTCATGACTGCAGTCATGACAGAAGCACATAAAAAGCAATGCATGATATTATGATTTTTCCTTATTTGACACATTTCATGTAGGCTCCTAGACCTATTTGATTATACAAGTAGCACTTCTGGTTGTGATGAAAATGCACAAAAAGTAATGTGTCATATTGAGGAGCCACTTTAAGGCTAATATGATCAAAATTTATGTGGCATATTTCTTAAAAACAGATGCATTAAAGTTCCATTGCACCTAGCATGTAGAAATTTAAGGCATTTTTTTTCTAATATAACTTTTGAGCTATGAGCATGCATCTGAAAGCTAATAGATCTATATGCAATGCAATTGTACTTTAAACAATTGATTCAGTCTGGAGTTTTGTTTGCTTTGATTTGGGGAAATAACTTTGCTATAGTCCAGACACAGCAGTATAGTAACACCTTGATGTATGGTCATAATGAGTGGGTTTTAAAGATTGTGAGTGGGAAATCTATCATATGACTGCTGAATTGTCACTATAGTGTTGATCATAATAAGTTTATTAAATGAATTTTATTTTAAAGAGTACTTTCATCAAGAGTACTTTTATCAAGAGTAAATGACTGCTTTTATGTATAGTATAGCATAAGGGTAAATGGCTATTATGGTGCTGTGTCTACTAAATCAATAATAATGATTGATGGTGATGATGATAAGGATGATAACAATAATAATAACAATAATAATAATAATCATGATGATTAATACAATGAGTAGCCAGTTGATGAAATGCTACTTTGTGTTGCTTTACTAATATTTCATTTTTATTGTCAGTGTCAGCTACATTTATTTGATTAATTTTCTTTTTGCCATATTTGTTGATGAGTCATCTCTAGCCTCTACGCCTCATTTTTTGTATTTGACAATGTGAAAATCTAGCTAGCTGTATGTTCATTTGCAATAGGTTCACCACACCCTCCGTGCCTCCGGGAGGGTCTGGTCAATAGAGCATTCCTTCTTTGTTCTGCTTCACCCAAAACCAGGTGAACCTGATGCGGTTACACGTGGTCAACTGACGTAATGTCAGTCCGTATACTTACACGTACACTATTGGTAACCCATATGGAAAGTCATGGTTGCTGCTTGCTTTCTTTGTGGCGAGGAGATCAAGAGCAGGACTCAAAAGGTGAAGAAGCTCCTCTTATTTGACAGAGCAGGAAAGAAATACCTAACTGTATTAAATGATCTAACGAAAGAGAGCTTTGGTAGCCCATTATTCGGTGTAGATGAAGCAGGCAATGGCAGGGATAAGACATAAATTTGTCACAGTTGTTCCTCTAGCGTGGACAAGCTGTTGTCACT